ATCCATAGGACGACCCCTTCTTCTTCGAGTAACCGTAGTCCACCCTTTATTATCCTCTGATTTAGAAAACCCTAGATTGTTTTGCGATTGAGGAAAAACAGGGGTTTTCTTAGGTGGATGACGGTTATCAAAGAGGGAGTTGAAAGGTCGTGGGAAATGAGAAAAAGAACCAGGTTTAAACATTGGAACTTGAGCAGATGCATTGGAAATAGGCAGAGAGGGATTTTTAAACATCTTAGAGATGACATAACCTTTCTCGAGATGGTGCAAAACCTGACGAGGAGGTGAAGAACCCAAAACACCATGATGAGATGGATGACGTACCTGAGATGCAGAAAACTTAGCAGACGTTTCTCCCTCCTTCGTGAACGCTCTTGCACTCGCACCTCTCTCTCCCATCTTAGAGAAGCAGAGCTTAGTGTTGATGTATCTAGTTAGTCGAGCCTCTATTTTGAAAGTACTTAAAAAAAAGGTTTTATATTAGACTAATTTTTTTGGTAAAAAAATTAAGGGAAAAATGCTTCCAGCTCCCAAAAGCCAAGTGAACGTGTTTCCCACTCCCAAGACTTGGTCAATAGGTGTTTTACCCCTAAAAATAAAGATTTTGTTCTCTGAGCCCCCAAAACACAAAACCCAAGACATTAAAACATGTGAAGACCATAATACCCTTCTCTCTCTCTTTCTTTTTTTATTAAAATATGATGATGATTATTTTATTATTTCTCTCTCTCTCTCTCTCTATCATGATGTACCAAGAGGATCTTTAGATAGGTAACCCTAACAATTAAACCCGTAACCTTAACAATTAAACCCGTAACCTTAACAATAAATCCGTAACCTACACAACAAATCCACAACCTTAACAACAAACCCTTAACCTTAACAACCAACCCGTAACCTTAACAATCAACCCGTAACTTTAACAACCTCCCAATACAAACAACCAAAATAATAAAAAATAAAAATAATAAAATAATCCTCATCAATCATTTCAACTATCCTCTTGGTACATCATGATAAAGAGAGAGAGAAAACAAAAATAATAAAATAATCCCCATCATATTTTAATAAAAAAAGAAAGAGAGAGAGAGAGGATTCATAACCTTAACAACAAACCCTTAACCTTAACAACCAACCCGTAACCTTAACAATCAACCCGTAACTTTAACAACCTCCCAAAACAAACAACCAAAATAATAAAAAACGAAAATAATAAAATAATCCTCATCAATCATTTCAACTATCCTCTTGGTACATCATGATAAAGAGAGAGAGAAAACAATTTCAACTATCATCTCAGTACATCATGATAAAGAGAGAGAGAAAAAAATAATAAAATAATCCTCATCATATTTTAATAAAAAAAGAAAGAGAGAGAGAAGGGTATTATGGTCTTCACATGTTTTAATGTCTTGGGTTTTGTGTTTTGGGGGCTCAGAGAACAGATTCTTTATTTTTAGGGGTAAAACACCCATTGACCAAGTCCTGGGGGTGGGAAGCATGTTCACTTGGCTTTTGGGGGCTGGAAGCATTTTTCCCAAAAATTAAAGCAGAAATAAGCCCACCAAAAATGTTTATGCCGAACTAATGGGCTAGACATCGTTTCTTGTAAACAGTGGACGGGGCTTTAAACAGTGGGCCTAGATATATAAATAAGATCTAATATCTGGCCCAGCCGTATTTGCTTGTCTCGCTGTAACAACTATTTTTCAGACGGTAGTAGTTAAAGTTCAAACCATCAACGGACTCGCCGCTCTCCAATCTCTTCTACCTCAGTATTTCTACCCAAAAATCTAGACCGATTTCAAATACTCAATTTTTTTTTTTTAAGATTTCAAATACCCAAAAATCTACGCCCAGGTCTGACGTAGACCACATGTTCGAATCCTCCCGATCCCCCAACCGCTGTAAGGGGCTTCACCTTAATACCAGGGGCCCATCCCCACGTGACTGGACGAGCAGCGTGTGGACCAAGCTGGACGCAAACCGGACTCTTAACTACCAGGTTGAGTTACTGATCAGAAAAACCCCGGGCCCCAGTTCCCACCCTTATTTCCCAAAGGGACCAGGTGAATGCGGATACATGGATCAAACCCCTGACCACCTGGAGAGATCTCCTCCCCCACTCTTCGTCGCGCTAACCAGAAGTCCCACCCGCAGTTGGTAAAATACTCGATCTTTGATAACAAAGAATGCTGCAAAACTTATTCATGGAGCCATTACAGTGCAAATTAAACACTGGGTGTTTGTTGAATTACCACGTAGAAAATAATAATAATAATAATAATAATAATAATAATCTCGCAACAGCAAGCACATTATTCTCTCTAATGCTTGAGGTTCATTGTTCATGATGTTTGGGGCTATCAGTCTCTTCAGATAGAAGCTTACAATATTACTCTCTTACTTCTTAATGAGCAAATATTATCTAAATTTATGCATATTTATGTTACATTCATAATCATATTAGGAGTTTACCTCAAGTAGCCTGTGTGTATTGAGCTCACCGCATCATTTTCTTTTATAAATCACACCAAAACTACAAATATATATTTGAATTTAAACATAATAAAATCTATATACAACATAAAATATCAACGCAGACCCGAACAGCAAGGAAAAATTCCCACAAATGGTGCAAAAAGAATCGCTGAAAATATCACCATCTTCAACCCCAACAAAAATTTCCCCCGGTCTACTCATCTTCTCTCCTCTGCATCAAGGGCGGCAATGGTGGTTTCATTGCTGAACCTTTCGACATATGTCGACGCTCTTCTAAGCGCAACCGACCAAAGAAACTTCTCTAAGGCTCTCCACATCAACATCTTCAAGCTTTGGAGGACATGAGAAACTCCTATGCTCATCACCGTTCATGAAATTCCCTTCCCTCGGCAAAGGAACCAACACCGCTCTCCCTTCCTCATCAGTAACTTTTCGATAAAACCCGTCATCCTCAATGTCGTAAAAGTTTGCGGTTCGAATCTCCTGAGCTAAAGAACACGACCAGCAGAACAACCAGTAGGCAAAATCAGTGACCAAAGCATAACCACGGCACAGAGGATTTGCTGGGAGTTTGAACTTCTTTCGTATCTCAGACCTCCAGTATCCTCCATATAGCAAGCCAAGCGCGCAACAAACGGCTCCACATATAGCAATTATAAGCCTCGCAGTATCGTCATCGACATTGTTGGCCGATATGTAGAATATCCAGAACGGCGATACGCAGAGAATCACAAAAGTGAAAATATGCACATACATGTTTCCGAACCCGAGCCTCTCCAAGTTCCATCCGAACACACAGCAAGTGCAGAAGAACGACAGCCCGTAATGTCGTTCCTAGCAATGAAGCAGCGCCGCCGATGCCCACTCTGGCGCCGCGACTATCACTCTTCGGTGGTACGCCGAGACTTCGTTATCGGCTAATTGTATGTCTCCATTTCTTCGACTCTGAGACTCTTCATCTGTTCTTGTCTCACCAGTGTCCTTTGCTAACGGACCGTAGTACGTGTACCAAGCAGCCCATATGGGTGAAATGACACCGACACCGATGCAGACGTATTGTGGCCAGTCAGGGCGATTATGCCTCGACCACCCCCAGAAGAGAGCGCAGTACACGTACTGGGCGACGCAGGTGAGGTGAAGTAGAAATAATACGAACGCAATGTGCGCTCGCTCATTAGGACGCTGAACGCCGTTCTTGGAGTACGTCTGTCTCGCAGCGACTTGGTCGTCGGGTCTCCATCGGATTACGAGAACTAAATGATGGAATAGCAAGGGGTGTTGGTATATGACCATGAGAGTGAAGAGAGCATTGACGACTTGGTTAATTACTTCCTCCCATCTGTCTCTTTGATCTTTGTCAGGCATCACTTCGTTTAATGCTCCGATCATGAAGAGACCTACCCAAACTATGCCTATAGCACAAAGGATTACCCATATGAGGAGAAGTACATTGCTTGGGCTCTTTATCCACTGCTTGAAATATTGTACAAGTGCTTTCCAGTTTATTTTTCTGACGAAGGGTACACGAAATCTTCGTCGTCGTCCCCTAGGGCGATCAGCTGTTGATTCTTCGGCCGTGCTTGTTCTTCGCTGAGATCCTCTGAATCCAAATCGTAAGAACCAGTCATTCGTCGGGCGAGCTTTCAGGAAATCGAAGAAGCGCTGCTTGCGGTTTTTCTTGACTATCAGGCCTTTTTCGACCGCTGGAATGTATATCGGGATGAAATCTCTGAGTTTTTTGCCGGTGCTCGATCCATTCATTTCAGGTTCTTGGATTTCGCCTTTGCTGCGAGTTGATAATGCTCTTTGATTGTGGAAGCTGAACTCTTCTTCAATCTCACCATTAGCGTGCTCACCATTCTCAGTTGAATCCATTGCGTTTTTGTTCAGAAATTGGTTCTCAAGATTCAAACTGAACAGTAGTGTGCTGGTTCTTCTTGCTTCCCTTGATCAGCATGTGAAAATTTCCTGAATAAAGTCAATGTTAGGATACCATCTGAAACATAAAGCAACGTGCTAATTAGTTGAAGGCATAGAAATTTTTCTTTTGTCTCATGGTCTAAATTATTATTGCAGTCTCATCTGAACATGTCTTTAACCCAAAATTATCGCAAAAGCACAAGCTTACATTTACAGCCATGATAACAACTTATTGTTATTATTATTTTGCTAACCTGCTATTTTCTTTATTGTCGCAGTGCACATCTCATTCTGCATAGTTTTTACTGGTTTTCACTAAAAAATGGGCGACAATTATTGGTGGTGAAGTACAAGATATCTGATCAATTATATATGTTTGTTTTTCACTTACCAATTGCCCAATTGGTGACAAATCGCTAACATGTCTTAATCCCCATTCATATGATTTAGTTCTTGCATTTTTATATCAAAAACATTGGATACACCAAAATCAAAGTGGGAACAATCAGCACAAGAACCAACAGGAGAAACAATCAGTTTAGGCTTGAACAGGATAATCCCCAACACGAAAATTTTCTAAAACCCGTAAGCATGAGAAAACCAATATAGCTCTTAAAATCAAATTAATAAGAAAATGACTACATGCAGTACCTTTGGAAATAGGGAAACCAGGGACCAAAGAGGACAAGATATCAGCTACCTTCTTCAAACCAAAGGGATGTGAAGAAAGAGCTCACCCCAGAAAATTTTAACTTAATTTTTCTGAGGAAAAATCTGCCCAATATTTAGATAGGGGCTCGCTCAATAATATCAGCGGAGAAAATTAAGGTGAAAGGAACAATAAAAGTCTTCTATTTCTAGATATTGAATTTTTTTTTTTGTGTACTTACTAACGCTCTTTTCAAACTTTGACTTTAAATAATTTTTGTCAAAGATGGCGGTAGTGTGTTGAAGAGTTCAAATTATTTAATAGGAATGGGAGAATCGGTCATCCCCGGCCAATTTGGACAGCCTAACTGGACCACACGCTTGTCACATGCTTACTGTGCATTCGGGTCATCATGATACCATTTACTACTGAACTGCCACTTGAAGTTACAAAGGGCAAATTTTATGAAACCATTCCTTTATATAGGAGCATGACACGTGGAGCCATTCCCAAAAATGGTAGATAGACAATTTTAAAGATTTCAACCAGCTCTTTATAGATATTTAAGGGTGAGATTGGTGGATTGCAGCTGCAGTTCCAATATGACTGTTACCTGTATATAACTGAGGAGTGCTGCTACGGAGACCCAAAATATGGGACTAAGGGAGGGGACATGTGAGGTGTCCCATCCTTATTGTATAATGAGCTGGCCATGCCAACTCATTATGCAATAGGGAGGGGACACATCACCTGTCCCCTCCCTTGGTCCCATATTTTGGGTCCTTAAATCATTTTCCATAACTGAGATATTACAACTGGCATGGCATGCAATTGCAGTTACAACTATTACTATTTTGTTTAATTTTTAATTTTACAATTTCTAGTTGCAACCGTTTGATACTGCTTGTAACTTTTCAAATGCAACTTATTTTTTACTTGTTAAAAAATTATAACAAAATTAATTAATTATATATTTAAAACAGTTCATTTTTAAAAAAATATTACTTTTTATTACTACCTTTTTTAGAAAAAACAATTTGTTGAAAAAACGGAATATATTTCAAAAAAGTTTTGGAAATATAAATTTTTTGGAAAAGTAATATATTTTTGAAAAAAAATATATTTTGTAAAATAATACATTTGAAAAAAAATAATATTTTTTGATAAATTTAATATTTTTAGAAAAACAATAATATGTTAAAAATGTTATTGAGGAAATAATATTTTTTCTATAAATTTCCCTAAAAAATAACGTTCTTTTGTAAAAGGTAATAGTTCTGATCAGATAACATCTTTAACAAAATAGTATTTTTTTTGAATTATTTTTTTCCAGAGAAATGAATCTTTGATGTTCTTCTATTTTCTTCCCTTTAAATAATGATTTTGAGATTTTCAAATCTTTTTTGTTAATTTGAATTGTTGTAACTAGGTTGCGACTACAATTTATGTTTAACATTGCGTAAGTCGAAAATTGGGCGCAACTGTAGTTGCAACTGCATCATCCAGTTGCAAACAATCACTTGCAACTGGATAAAATATTCTAGTTGCATACAAATGCAGTTACAACCCTTCTAAATATTGCAACTGACCAGACACACCCTAAGGCATAGAAATGATGTTCTGATAAGATTTGTATAATATGCTAAAGGATAGAGAGAAGAAAATACTTGTTTGGTCTGCAATATAAGTAGGAACTTGAATGAGATATATGTTCCATCGTCAATTTAAAATTTGATCATCACAATGATTTATGTGGTGTATTGATTTAATAGTTATTTTACGCTGATTTTTAGCCATTTACATTGATTTTTATTGGTTGCGCTTGTTTTATACATTTATTATAGTGATTTAAAATTGGCAGTAAACCCTTACTATATATATATGTAGGACTTTTATACGTAAGGATCACGTCTATGGGTCGTGTGAGGATGATAATGATATTACAGCTTCATATGAATCATATCCATTCCCAATGGCGATTTCTTCTCATTTATAAAGCCAAACTTTTCTATTCTAAGCTGCGCTTTTTCCCTGTAGAATTTATGTAGAAACACATATTATTGTGCCGTACGTAGATATTTTGTGTCCTC